GTAGGTGCTTTAGACCACTGAGCCATCTCACCAGCCCCCACTTGTCTCTGTTTTAAGAGAAACTTTAAGCCCTATGCCAGCTGTGCCGCGGGGTCTGTGCTGAGATGAAACCGCCCCCCACGACTGCGGAAAGCACAGCCTCATCAGACGCAAGCCCAGAGCAGTCAGGACATCATCCCTGTCGTCGCTCTCGGAGTAGCAGTGATATATTGCCAGAAAATACTGACTTTTAGTGTTTCTTGTTTCTCCCCAGAGCTGGGTTTGAGCCCAGGGACTTCTCCAGCACTGAGCAGTCCCACCCCACCCTAATTTGTATTTTTAAATGAGCTTTGGAAACCAGCCCACCTGGAGCTTTCCGCTCTCCGCTAGAGGAGGACCTGGCGCTAAGTGGCTTTGGTGGCAAACGCATCTCGCATCCCAGCCCAGCTGCTTACAGGTCGCTGCCCTCACTGAGTGAGGGTGACGTTTGCCACCTCAGAGCCAATGCTGAGCCCCAGGGGAAAGCATGGTCTCAGCCACTTAGCACGGAGTCCTTGCACACAGTAGGACCTGAGGGGTGCCCAGTGTGGAGGTGGCAGCTGCTTCTCCAGGGTGTTGGGCCTGCCGTAGGGGAGGCAGAAGGGTGCGAGGCTGTCCTGGCCCCACAGTGGGGCGGACGGTCAGGGCCTGGGACAGCCGCCACTCCGAGGGCCAAGCGTGTGCTGGTGTTTTCCTAAGTGGCAGCTGGGACCATCTATTCCATAGGCCGTGGAAGAGATGTCCACAGTCATGCAACAGCATAACCGTGTTTAGTAAACATCTCTAGCTTCCAATCAGGCCATGACGGTTGTGCAACTTTGCTTTATTGTGATACCAGTCACTGAACCCCGGGCCTTCACACTGAGCTACCTCCTAGGTCTGGTCTTTACTAGCCAGCCAGCCATCCTGTCTGTCTCTGTCTGTCTGTCTGTCTGTCTGTCTGTCTGTCTGTCTGTGTCTGTCTCTCTGACTGTCTGTCTCTCTGACTGTCTGTCTGTCTGCCAGTCTGCCTGTCTGCCTGCCTGCCTGCCTGTCTGCCTGTCTGCTTGTCTGCCTGCCTGCCTGCCTGCCTGCCTGCCTGCCTGCCTGCCTGCCTGTCTGCCTGTCTGCCTGTCTGCCTGTCTGCCTCTTTCTGTTTCTGTTTCTGTTTGTGTCTGTCTGTCTGTCT